TTCCTCCTCCTCCTCCTCCTCCTCCTCCTCCTCCTCCTCCTCCCGCTGACGCTGACGCTGACGCTGCCCGTTGAAACCTTTGCCTTCCTCGCCGATCGCGCCATCGCTGAGGACGGGTCTCCCTCCATCTCCCTCCACCTCCTTCTTGATCTCCCTCAGGCGGATGGGCTGGGGAGTCGTCCAATGGGATCTCGGTCAAGGCGTCCTTCGCGAGATCGTCGGCTCGATCCTTGCCAGGATGCCGCAGTCGACAGCTTGCGTCGAGCACCCGTATTTTTCGCGGGCGCTGAGGTCTCGTACGGGACGTACATCGGTGACTGTTCCTCGGTTCTGGGGTCTGCCAGGGGCGGGAAGGCCCAAGCGAGCAGATCCTCGCCGCCTTCCGCGGGCTTCTGGCGGGCCCTCCCCGGCAAGACGAGGCCCGCGCAGGCCTGGTCGAGCAGAATTTGCGCATGTGTTCCGCCGAGCAGCCCGCCGCCGACGCCGAGCGGGCTGCGTGGCTCCACGACCAGGCCGGCCAGGCAGCCCAGCCGGGAGGCGCGCCTCCATCGGCGCCTCCGCCGCCCTCGCCGCCGAGCTCGAAGAGCCGCCCGCGAGGGCGCGGCGGCTCCTCGGGAGGAGGCGCCCGGGGGCTGCGCTCGCGCCCCGCCCCGAGGCAGGCGCGGGCGAACTTCACTTGGGCAGGCCGCCCGCCCCTTGCGCGGCAGCCGCGCAGATCGCCCCCGAGTGCGTCGCGGTCGGCCTGCGTCGGCAGCGTGTGCGCCGCCTGCCCCGCCGCGCGCGGCCTCCTCGCCCCTCTCCGCGCCCTTCCTGCTCCGGGCTGCGCCCGATCTGGCCGCGGAGCGTCCCTCGGTGGCGCTCCGACCGCGTCCCGGGCCCAGGTCGCCGCGACAACGAGTTTGCGCTGCCTGCGATGCGCGGCGACGCCCGTGGCCGCGCTCGATGGCAGGGAGTGCCCGCCTGGAAGATCGGCCCCCGAGTTTTTTCCGTGTGAAAGCCCACCTGGCGTCCCACGACGTCGATTTGTGTGAGCTCGCGGCAAAGACTGGAGCTCCCGTGGAAGATATTTCTTTATTTCTTTGTGTTGTGCGAAGAGCTCCGTAGACGCGACCAGCAAGCCTCGTGGTCTCGGGAGCCCCTGTCCCGTCGGCGGCACGCGTGGCCTGAAGATGACTGAGGCGGCGCTGCACAAGAGGATGCGGTTCTTGGAGGGCCAGCATCCGAGGTGCGGCCAGAGTGCGACGATCACCGCAGGTTGGCCGTTCTCCCAGAAAGCGCTCAACCTTACAGTGCCTATCTCTTGGCCCGACGGGCCCAACCCGCATGGAGAGGGCACTGACGCTGCGGACAGGCTCGCGCGAACCTCGATGCACCCATCCATGCCTTCCTCCCCTTCCCCCTGTTCTTCCTCCTTGTCCTCCACTTCCTCCCCCTTTTTCTCTTTGCCATCCATTGCCCCCCCGCTCGTCGTCGCCGTCTTGCTCTTCGTCCGTCCAGGGCTGTTCTGGGAGGCTGCGGCGACGACGACGAGTGGTCGGAAAAGGGAAGAGGATGAGATGGAGGAGGAGGAGGAGGAGGAGGAGGAGGAGGAGGAGAACGAGGAGGAGGAGGAGGAGGCGGAGGGGGAGGAGGACGATGGAGACGGGGGCATCGGCGCCAGCTCGAGCCCGTCCGCCGCAGCGTCAGAGTAAGGAGTAGGATGGGGAGGGACCCTGAGGGCGATGTGAGGAAGGAGGTGGACGGGAATGAGGAGGAGGAGGAGGTGAAGGAATAGTAAGAAGAGCGGCCTCGGGGGTCAAAGTCGAGCTGTAACACGTGGAGGGGCTTCCGTCGTCGCCCGATCGGGATGCATTGCCACCGGGAGGGGCGCGGGCCCCCGCGAGCCCTCCCCTCCCCTCACTGGCCCTTCGAGGCCAACCAGGCTGCCAAAGCATCCTCAATGACTCCATGACTCCCGCTGGTTCCTTCCTCTCCTTCACAACAGCTCCGATCTGCTGCAGCGCGCGGTGAATGGTGAGGAGGAGGGGGAGGAGGAGGAGGAGGAAGAGTACAATGAGAAAGAGGAGGAGAGGAGGAGCAGGAGGAGGAGGTGGAGGAAGCGAAGGGGGAGGAGGAGGGAGGTGTAGGAGGAGCAAGAGGTGGACGAGAGATGATGGTGCTGATGATGATGATGATGATGATGATGATGATGATGATGATGATGGTGATGATGATGCTGATGATGGTGATGCTGATGCTGCTCATGATGGAGTTGATGCTGATGCTGATGATCGTGCTGATGATACTGGTGATGACAATGACGATGATGATGATGCTGATGCTAATGGTGATAATGATGATGATGACGACGATGCTGATGATGCTGATGATGCTGATGCTGATGATTATGGTGATGCTGCTGATTAATATGATGATGGTGATGCATATGCTCATGATATTGATGATGTTGCTGCTGTTGATGATGTTGCTGCTGATGGCTATGCTGATGAAGATGATAGTGATGCTGCTGATGATGATGACGATGATGATGCTGCTGTTGGTGATGATGGTTAGGATGAGGATGATGATGATGATGATGATGATGATGATGATGATGATGCTGATGCTGATGCTGATGCTGATGCTGATGCTGATGATGATGATGATGATGATGATGATGATGATGATGATGATGATGATGATGATGATGATGATGATGATGATATTGATGATGAGGAGGAGGATGAGGAGGATGAGGATGAGGATGAGGATTAGGATCAGGATGAGGATGAGAATGAAGATGAGCATGAGCATGAGGATGAGGATGAGGGTGAGGAGGAGGAGGAGGAGGAGGAGGACGAGGAGGTGGAGGCACAAGCGGAGGAGGAGGAGGGGGAGGAAGAGGAGGAGGAGGAGGAGGAGGAGGAGACGGAGGAGGACGAGGAGGAGGACGGATGATGAGGATGATGAGGAGGAAGAGGAGGAAGAGGAGGAGGACGGAGGACGGAGGACGAGGAGGAGGAGGAGGTAGGAGTACAATGGAGGAGGAGGAGGAGGAGGAGGAGGAGGAGGAGGAGGAGGATAAGAAGGGAGGAGGAGAATGAGCAGAAGGAGGACAAGAGGAACCGGAAGAGGGCTGCGGAGGAGGAGGAGAAGGATGAGGCGGAAGAATGGTGGTGGGGAGCTTGTTGCTGCAATTGATGATGATGACGATGATGATGATGTTGATGATGATGTTGTTGATGTTGATGGTGATGATCATTGTGATGGTGATGTTGATGATGGTGGTGGTGATGGTGATTCGGATGATGATGCTGATGATGATGCTGATGATGCTGATGATGCTGATGATGATGCTGATGATGCTGCTGCTGATGATGATGGTAATGGTGATACTGATCATGATGATGATGATGATGATGATGATGATGATGATGATGATGATGATGATGATGATGATGCTGATGCTGATGATGATGATGATGCTGATGCTGATGCTGATGCTGATGCTGATGCTGATGCTGATGCTGATGCTAATGATGATACTGGTGGTGAGAAAGAGCGCGTTCTGTGGTCGCTTGAAAGGGGGGTTTGGAACCGGAGACCCCCTCTGTCCTCTCTCCCTCTCTTCGGGACAGCGCCGGCGTCGGCGGCGACTGGCGGCGGCGGCGGGGAGCGTCGATGAAGACGACGACTTCCTTTTCTGGGCCGGCGCCGGCGCCTGCGGCGGCTGGCGCGGCGGCGGCGGGGAGCGTCGACGAGGACGACTGCGACGACGATGACGACGACGACACTCCGCCACCGTGCCTTGGTTTTGGGTCAGAGTCCTAACGGATCCCTCTTGGGGTCTCATCGGAGGGCGATCGTGGGCCTCTGAAGTGCATTTCTGGAGGGCATTTGCGAAGCTTCCTGGGCGCCTCTTGGGCGTCTCTTGGGGCCTCTCTGAGGTGGTGGTGGTGGGCTGTGGTGGTGGTGGTGGTTGTGGCGGTGGTGGTGGTGGTGGGGGCGGTGGTGTGGTGGTTGGTGGTGGAGGTGGTTGTTGTGGTGGATGTGGTGACAGGTTGTGGTGGTGGTGGTTGCGGTGGTGGTGGTGGTGGTGCGGTGGTTTCTGGTGGTGGTGTTAGTGGTGGTTGCGGTGGTGGTGGGTTGGTGGTGGTGGCGGTGGCGGTGTGGTGGCTTGTTGTGATGTTTGTGTTGGTGGTAGTGGTTGTGGTGGTGGTGGATTGTGGTGGTGGTGACGGTGGTCGTGGTTGTGGTGGTGGTGGTTTGTTGTGGTGGTGGTCGTGGTGGTGGGTGGTGGTGGTGGTTGTGGCGGTGGTGGTGGTGGTACTGGTGTGGTGGTTGGTGGAGGTGGTGGTTTGTGGTGGCGGTGGTGGCGGTGGGTTGTGGTGGAGGTGGTGGTTGTGGTGGTGGTTGTGGTGGCGGTGGTGTGGTGGTTTGTGGTGGTGGTGGTTGTGGTGGTGGAGGTGGTGGGTGTGGTTGTGGTGGTGGTGTGGTGGTGGGTTGTGGTGGTGGTGGTGGGTTGTGGTGGTGGTGGTGGTGGCTGCAGTAGTGGTGGTGTGGTTGTTCGTGTTTGTGGTGGTGGTGGTGTCGGTGGTGGTGGTGGTTGCGGTGGGTTGTGGAGGTGGTGCTGGTGGTAGTGGTGGTGGCGATGCTGGTGGTGGTGGTGGTGTCGTGTGTTGTGGTGGTGGTAATGGGTTGTGCTGCTGATAGTGGTGGTGGCTGGTGTGGCGGTTTTGGTAGTGGTGGTGGTGTGGTCGATTTTGATGGTGGTGGTTGCGGTGGTGGGTTGACGTGGCGGTGGTGGTGAGTTGGAGTGGTTGTGGTGGTGGTTGTGGTGGAGGTGGTGGCTGTGGTGGTGGTGGCTGTGTGGTGGTTTGGTGGTGGTGGTGGTGGTTTGAGGTTGTCGTGGTGGTGGTGGTAGTGGTGGTGGCGGTGGTGGCGTGGTGGTTTGTGGTGGTGGTTGTGGTGGTTGCTGCTGTGGTGTTGGTGGTGGTGGTGCTGCTGGTGGTGATGGTGCCGGTGGTGCTGGTGGGTGGTGGGTGGTAGGTGGCGGTGGTTATGGTGGTGGTGGTGGTGGTTGCTGCGGTGGTGGCGGTGGTGGTTTGTGGTGGTGGTGGTGGGTTGTGGTGGTGGTGGTGGCGGTGGTGGTGATGATGTTGGTGGTGGTTGTGTGGTGGTTCGTGGTGGTGGTGGTTGTGGTGCGTTGTAATGGGTTGTGGTGGTGCTGTTGGTGGTGGCGTTTTTGGTGGTGGTGGTGGTGGTGTAGTGGTTCGTGGTGATGGTTGTTGTTGTGGTGGTGGTTGGTTGTGGTGGTTGTGGTGGTGGTGATGGCGTTGGTGGTGGTGGTGTGGTGGTTTGTGGTTGTGGTGGTGGTGGTATGGCCTTCGGGTCTTGCCGCCACCGTGTTTTGGCTTTGGGTCAGTTTTCTAATGGATGCCTCTTGATGTCTCGTCAGATGGGTGTCGGGGGCGTCTGAGGAGCATTTGTGAAGCCTCGTGGAGCCTCGGTGGCTTTCGAGGGGCGAGGGCTCGATTTGTATTTCCCTGTTGCGGCCTTTGGGCCCTCTCTGGTCATCGACGCTGCGTCCCCGCCTTCGGCGCTGCTGGCCGCCGCCAGCGCCGGCGCGGGCGCCGGCGCGGGGGGGAGGGGGGGTTTGGACTCCCCCCCCCTTTCCCCTGGGCCTTCTCTGGTCATCGTCGCTGCGTCCCTGCCGTCGGCGCTGCTGGCCGCCGCCAGCGCCGGCGCCGTCGCCGCGGGGGGGTGGAGTTTGGACACCCCCCCGGGAGGGGGGGGTTCGGCATGGGGGGGTTCGGAAAGGGAGTCCCCCTGGTTCTGATCGACGGCGCCGAGTGTGGGGGGGGGGGCCAACCCCCGGTTCGAAACGCGCCGCCGAGTTTTCCCTAAGCAAGCGCCCGTGAAGCGCGTTCTCTCCTGATGATGATGACGATGATGACGATAGTGATGTTGATGATGGTGCTGGCGATGACGATGCTGACGATGATGTCGACGGTGATGGTGCATGATGACGATGGTGAAGATGGTGGCGCTGATGGTGATTTTGAGGCTGATGATGGTGCTGGTGATGATGCGGACGACGATGATGCTGACGCTGTTGATGGTGATGATGATGCTGATGTTGATGCTGACGATGATGAGGATGCTGCTGCTCATGATGATGACGATGCAAGTGCTGCTAATGATGATGGCGACTGTGGTGAAGGTGATTGTGATGGTGATGACGATGCTGATGATGGTGGTGGTTGTGGCAATCATGCGGATGGTGAAGACGAGGGCGATGAGGAGGAAGAGGGCCAGGAGGAAGACGATGACGATGATGATGTTGGTGATGATAACAATAATGATGATGATGATGATGATGATGATGATGATGATGATGATGTTGATGTTGATGTTGATGTTGATGATGATGACGATGATGATGATGATGATCATGATGATAATAATGATGATGATGAGGGTAATGATGCTGAGGGTGATGATGGTGATGATGATTGTGATGTTGATTATCATGCTGATGGTGATGATGATGGTCTTTATGTTGATGATGCTACTGAGGATGATGGAGACGATGACGATGACGATGCTAACCATGATGATGATGATGATGATGATGATGATGATGATGATGATGATGATGATGATGATGATGATCATGATCATGATCATGATCATGATCATGATGATGATGATGATGATGATGATGATGATGATGATGATGATGATGATGATGCTGATGCTGATGCTGATGCTGATGAGGATGAGGATGAGGATGAGGATGAGGATGAGGATGAGGATTGTGGTGGTGGTTGTGGTGATGATGATGATGACGGTAAGGAGGATGCGGAGGAGGGGGAGGGTGCATGAGGACCATGGAGGAGGATAAGGAAGGAGGGCACGAAGGCGGAGGAGGGAGGTGGAAAACGAGGAATGAGGAGGAGAAGGAGGAGGACAAGAAGTCGAGGAAAGGAGATGGAGGATGAGAAAGGGGATGAGGAAGGGGAGGAGGAGGAGGAAGAGTGGGAGGAGGAGGAGGAGGAGGAGGAGGAGGAGGAGGACGAGGAAGAGGACGAGGAGGAGTACGAGGACGAGGGGGAGGAGGACGAGGAGGAGGACGAGGACGAGGACAAGCACGAGGACGAGGAGGAGGAGGGGGAGGAGGAGGAGGAGGTGGAGGAGGAGGAGGATAAGCAGGAGGTGGAGGATGCAGGAGGAGGAGGATGATGAGGAGGAGGGGAAGACGAATCATGATGACAAGAAGGAGGATAATGGAGATGGAGGGCGATGGAGAAGGACGAGGAGGAGGAGGAAGAAAAGAGGAAGGAGGACAAGAAGCTTGAATATTGAGATTGAGCAGGAGGAGGAGGATGAGGAGGAGGAGGAGGATGAGGAGAAGGAGCAGCCTCGTGCACCGCTCCCCTGTCCAGCAAGCCCCAGGCGGCGCAGGGCTTCGCGGCGCCCGGGCAGGCCTCGGCCTTGCAGGCCCCATTCCCAGCGCAGGCGCAGCCCTTCCTCCCGCCGCCCCTCCGTGAGGGAGGAGACGGGTGAGGAGGAGGTAGAGGGGGTAGAGGGTGGAGGAGACAGATGTAGGTATGTACGTAGGCAGGTAGGGCGGTAGGCAGGTGGGTGGGTAGGGAGGAGGAGGAGGCGGATCAGGAACAGGAGTGGCTGTTGTTCATGAGGCTGCTGATGCTGGCAATGAAATGTGTTGGTGAAGGTATGATGCGATGATGGTATGATGATGATGTTGATGATGACATTGATGATGGTGGTCATGTTGATGATGACCATGATAGTGACGAGAGTGATAAGGACAATGATGATGAGGATGCTGATGATACCGATTATGATGACGAATGGTGATTTGGTTGTTGATGGTGATGCTGATGTCGAGGATGCTGACCATGCGATGCTCTTGATGATGATGATGGTGGGGGTGATGCCTTTGATGATGATTTTGCTGGTGATGATGAGGAGAAGAAGGGTTTTAAAGGTGGTGCTGATGCTGCTGATGATGTTGATGATGGTAAATGGTCATGGGGATGATGATTATGATGATGGTGATTTGACGGCGATGGCGATTCTGATTATGTTGATGCTGGTGGTGATGATGATGCTGGCGATGATTACGAGGATGATGATGATGCTGATGACCAGAATGATGATGAGGATGATGATGGTGATGCTGCTCATGATGATGGTGGTGGTGGTTGTGAACATTATGTTGATGATGACTTTAATGACAATCATGATTATGCTGTTGTTGATGATGACGACCACGATGATGATGCTGATGATGATGATGCTGTTGACGATGACGATGATGATGATGATGATGATGATGATCATGATGATCATGCTGATGATCATGATGATGATGCTGATGCTGATTCTGATGATACTGCTGATGCTGGTGATGATGCTGATTGTGATGGCGATGGTGACGCTGATGACGATAATGCTGACGATGATGATTGGCTCAAGCTTGCATCCTGGCTCAAGTCAAGAGGTGTCTTAATACTCTCGCGGCCCACGCGCACAGACCAGATGGCATCGGCAGCGCCGCTGCTTCCTCACCCAAGCAGCAGAGATGGCGCCGATGATGAAGTCCACGGTCATGACCAAGGTCGCAGTCACCGCAGCGCTGGCGGAGACCTGCGAGGTGACGAGGGGCGTGATCGGCACGGCCTTGAGCACTCTCGCAAGCATTGCGTCGACTGAGGCGTAGACGTACGGCAAGTTCGTCATCCCGGGGATTGCGATGATCAAGACCCGCCAAAAGAAGGCGACCAAGGCCGGGAAGCGCGAGGTCTTCGGCAAGTTCGTCATGGTGAAGGCGAAGCCGGCCAAGATCATCGTGAAGACCTTCGTCGCAAAGGCTTTCAAGGACGAGTTCTGAGGGCCTGGGGGTCTGTGGCGAGCCTCGCGAAGAGGCTCCCCGGGTGCTCCCCCAATTCCTGCCCGTTTTTCCCTCCCCCCTCCGTCGAGGAATGTTCGTGCCATTTGGTCTGAGCGCAGAGATCAGTGGGCACCTCGCTCGGCGTGTGCGTTCCTAATTTCGCAGGTGGATCCGAGGCCTTGCTTAGGATCCGTTGTCCGTCCCCTAGCGGGGTCTGAACTGCCCTCCCCCTCCTTCCTCTTCCTCCCCCTCCCTGTTCCCCCCCTCCTTCTCCTTCGCATTCCCAGCGTTTCAACCGCAGTGCCGTCCGCCTGGAGGGCGGCGAGTGGTCGAACGCGACGGTCGTCGCGTGCGTTCGTCTCTCTGTCCCTCTTGTCTTCCTGTCCTCCCTCCCCCTTCCCCTCTCCTCTCGTGGTGGCGGGGCGAGGCGCTCGGCCTCCGGGGCCGCGCCAGAACACTGGCGCCGCCCCGTCCGCGCCGGTCGTGCGGTGAGGCTCGCTGGCCGCGCCAGGCGTCTGCCTCGTGCGGCCCGCCACGTTTTTTCTGGTGGTATTTAACATGAATTCCTAGAGCTGTTCGCTCATTCGTCGCCGCTCCCTTGCCCCATGAACTCGTGGTCGTTCATGGTCGTGGCCTAGGGACCTTGGCATATTTCTGTTCACCACCCCACGCGCCATAGGTTTGAACCGTGTTTGCTCACCGTTCCCTTCCTCCTCCTCTTTCTCTTCCTCCTCCTCCTCCTCTTCCCCGTTACGGTCTTGAGCAACATGGTATCCGCAGCGCGGCTGCTTTCTCTTCCAGGATACTATTAACAAGCTGAGTATGCCTATTGCAGGTCGGCTGGTGTGGCGTTCCCTGTTTGCTTGGCGTACCTTTGTGTCGCTCTGTGCTGCCTGCCGCGAAGTGGGACATGTTGTGCCCGCCTCCTCCTCCTTTCCTCCGAAAACATGTTGACGATCATGATGATGTTGACGATGACGATGACGAGGATGATGATGATGATGATGATGATGATGATGATGATGATGATGATGATGATGATGATGGTGATGGTGATGGTGATGGTGATGGTGATGGTGATGGTGATGGTGATGGTGATGGTGATGATGCTGGTGCTGTTGCTGATGCTGATGCTGATGATGCTGATGATGCTGATGATGCTGATGCTGATGACGATGTTGATGCTTGTGATGCTGATGATGGTGGTGGTGATGATGATAATTCTGATGGTGGCGGCGGCTACGATGATGATGGTGAGGATGAACCAGATGATGATGATGCTGATGATGATGATGATGATGAGGAAGAGGAGGAGGAGGAGGAGGAGGATAGGGATGATGATGCATGATGATGGTGATGGTGACGGTGATGGTGATGATGTTGTTGATGATGCTATACATATATATGTGATTGAGATGATGCTGATGCCGATGATGATGATGATGATGACGATGCTGATGCTGATGATGATCATGATGATGATGATGATGATGATGATGATGATGATGATGATGATGATCATGCTACTGAGGATGACGGTGACGATGACGTTGCTGATGGTGACCATGATGGTGTTGATGATGATGAGGAGGAGGAATGTGGTTGTGGTTGTGGTTGTGGTGATGATGATGATACTGATGATGATGATGATGATGATGATGATGATGATGATAATAATGAGGAGGAGGATGAGGTGGAGGAGCAGGAGGAGGAGTGAGGAGGAGGAGAAGGATCGTAATGATGATGACGATGACGATGATGATGATGCTGCTGACGCTGATGCTGATGCTGATGTTGATGATGATGGCAATGATGATGATGAAGATGATGATGATGATGATGATGATGATGATGATGATGATGATGATGATGATGCTGACGCTGCTGATGATGATGATGATGATGATGATGATGATGCTGATGTTGATGATGATGATGATGATGATGATGATGATGATGATGATGGTGATGATGATGATGATGATGATGATGATGATGATGATGATGATGATGATGATGATGATGATGGTGGTGGTGGTGGTGGTGGTGGTGGTCGTGGTGGTGATGATGATGATGATGATGGTGATGTTGATGGTGATGGTGATGGTGATGGTGATGATGATGCTGATGCTGATGCTGATGATGATCATGGTGATGGTTATGAGGAAGAGGAGGAGGCGGAGGATGAGGAGGAGGAGGAGGAGCAGGGAGGAGGCTGAGGAGGAGGAGGAACGGGAGGAAGAGGAGGAGGAGGAGGAGGAGGAGGAGGAACGGGAGGAGGGTGAGGAGGAGGAGGACGAGGAGGACGAGGAGGAGGAGGAGGCGGGAGGAAAATGAGAAGCACGGAGGAGCAGGCGGAGGCGCACCGGGCCGCGGCCTGTGAGCAATCTGCTTGCCAATGCCCGCGGCTACTCACCCCTCGACCAGGGCTGCATAGTTATGACAACAATCGTGACACTTCGAGTGCCAATAATGATAATAACGAAATAGGCAGCAAGAACCATGCGGACGGAGCAGGCAGGAGGAGGGGTAGGAATACTGAGGAAGAGCTGCGTAGGCACGATGGGGGAGCAGATGGGTGCCACCCACCTGCTCCTCCTCCTCCTCCTCCTTCTATCCTCCCTCTTGCAACCACCCACTGAGTGCTTGGAGCATGGAGAATGGAGGATGGAAGATGAGCGATGTGGAGGAGGATTTCGCCTCCTTCCCCTTGTCTCTGCCTTCACAGTCCCTCTCCCCCCCTTGATCCCTCTCGGCAGTTGCCCTCCCCCGCTCCCAGTCGCCGTCCTGCTTGTCTTCCCAGGCTTCCCTCTCCCCCCTGTCTTCCGAGGGCCTTGAGACGGGGGTCAATGCAAACGGGGGTCAGTCAGGGCGCCGCATCTTGCAGGATCCTGCAGAGCCAGTTTTTGACCCAAGTCAGTAGATCTCCGAGTCTCCTTCCGCCCTGCCCGCTAACCCGCTTCATTTCTCCCCCCCCCGACTTCGGATCCGCCGTACTTGTGCGGCTTCGTGCGCAGGGCGAAGATTCCCGCTATGCTTTTCGAGCTCCTCTGGTGCCGACTTCCGCCTCATTTGGCCGCCGCTACTTCTGCTATTCGCTCCGAGACCGGAACTTCCGCCCCACTGTTTCGCATCGCTTGCGGTGCATTTCCGACGCGCTGTCAAGTCGGAGAAATTAGCCAGAGTACACCTTAGGCGATGCTTAAAAAAACTTAAGTTTTCGGCCAGAGTCTCGATTATTCTTAACGTTTCAATGTAAATCCTAAGATGTTAATGGAAATGTTGGGTTTTTATTCAAGTTCTGAGACTATGAATTTCTTAACCCATGATTTCTTAAGCATTTCGCAGGGTGTATTTCCCTCCCCTGCCGTCCGCAGCACCCCCCCTCGCCACCGCCCGCGCCTGCCCAGCCCGCTCCCGCTCCCGGCCGCCCCCCTCGGCCCCCCCTCCTCGCTCGGAGGGTGCCGGCTCTTCAGAGAAGGAAGACGTACCCCTACGGCTACCCTCCCCTCGATCTCGCCTCATCGGGCCCCCTGGGAGACCCTCGTCGCCACCGCTGGATTCGCCCCGAAATTCTGGTCAGAACACACCCCAGGAGAGG